GGAATTCATAGACTGTAACTTGGTCAAGTAATATTTCTATTACTGCCCTTTTTTTTCCTATGAAGATAGGAATACGGTGGGTATATGGTTGTGGAGCAATATTGAGATTTTTAATTCATTCCTGAGGTTGCTCCTATAGAAACAGAACAGATTTTTTAAGCAGTGTTTGTAAACTATGGGAACTCCTTGATAATTCTTTTTTTAATTTTTTTATTCTTTATTAATTACACTTTATTTACTTTGTTTCCCCCCTGTGGTTCCTTCCCTCCTCCTGTCCCAATTCCTCCCTTCCTCCACCCTCTGCATGCATGCCCCTCCCCAAGTCCATTGATAGGGGAGGTCTTCTTTTCCTTCCTTCTGATCCTAGTCAATTAGGTCTCATCAGGAGTGGCTGCAATGTCTTCTTCTGTGGCCTGGTAATGTTGCTTCCCCCTCAGGGGGAGGCAGTTAAAGAGTAGGCCAATCAGTTCATGTCAGAGGCAGTCCCTGTTCCTATTAGAATGTAACCCACTTGGATACTGAACTGTCATGGGCTACATCTGTGCAGGGGTCTTAGGTTATCTCCATGAACAGTCCTTGATCATGTTTTACTTATAGAAAAACAATGACACCAACACCTCAGATAATTAACTAAATGAACTCAGAAAATACTTTAAGAAGTTCTGGCTGACTCACAAGATAGGGATTTAATTTAGAGACACAGCTATGTAGAACATAAAAAGAAATTAATTTGTGGGTTCGAAAGCTGCCTTAGCACTTGCTGTTTGTTCAGACGGCCTGGGTTTAATCCCAGGACCTACATGCCATCTAATAACCACCCATAATGCCAGTTTCAGTGGGACCTGACAACCACTCTGGTCTCCATGTGCACTGCACACAGATTGTACACAGACATAAATACATGGAGGAAAAGCATCTTAAATTGCAGGTTAGAAATACTTGATAAATCCTGGAGCTAGCTCCTGTCTATTCTAAAGAAAAGTTAACTTTTATTATTAATTAATAATTAATTTTATGTGTATGTATGTGAGCCTGAGCGTATGTAGTGGACTGCATGCATGGAAGTACTATCAGAGGCCAGAAGAAGGTGTCAGATCACCTGAAATAGGAATTACATGAGGTTGTGAGCTGACCAATGTGGGTACTGGGAATTAAACCTTAGGTCCTCTTGTAGTAATCAGAAATTCTCTTAACTGTCAAGCCAGCTCTATATCACCAACATTTATTTATTTGTGTGTGTTTGTGTGTGTGAGCATGCACACGTGTGTGTGTGTGTGTGTGTGTGTGTGTGTGTGTGCATGTGTCATGTGCCATGACACATGTGTGAAGGTAAGCCAACAAATATCAGGTGTCAGTCCTCTACTTTTACTAAATGTTGGCTCAGAACACTGAACTCAGGTCATCAGGCTTGGCAGCATGGCCCTTTGAGTCATCCTGGTTGGCCCTGTTTTCTTTTGAAAGCAAGATAGAATGCCTGTGCTATGCTTCTAACCACCTAGTGTAAAAGACCAAAGGAAGAGGAAAGTCCGTGTCTTAGTTATGGTTTCTATTGCTATAATAAAACATCATGACCAAAGCAACTTGGGGAGGAAAGGGTTTAGTTTTTTCTCACAGCTCTCAGGTCACACTCCATCTCTGAGTGAAGTCAGAGCAGGAATTCAGTACAGAAATCTGGAAGGAAGAACTGCACCAGAGGTCCTGAAAGAATGCTGTTTACTGGTTTGCTCTTCATGGCTTGTTCAGCTTGCTTTCTTATACAACCTAGGACCACCAGCTACAAAGTGGAACTGCCTACAGTAGAATAGACCCTTCCACATCAATCATTAATCAATAATACATCACAGACTTGCCTACAGGTCTATCTTATGGAAGTTTTTTTTTTTTTTTCAGCTTAAGATTCCCTCTTTTGGGGAGATATATTATCAACCTTATATGAAACTCTAGGAACCCACCACATTACTGTATTTGTGGTTTACCCTTACCTGTTGCTATAAATCTATCATCTCCTTACCAAAGCTTCTCTGTGGCCTCATTCATGTTTTCACTCCCTTTATATAGAAGGCTTATTAAATAACAGTAGAATAGTTTGGGAATTAAGGTTCAATCTGAGGATATCAATAGGTTACAAAACAAGTACAAATTTAGAACTGATGCTTCCTGCTGTGTTTTAAATGAGTTGCTGTGTTTGTCTGTGTGTGTCTAAGCATGTGCCTTCTATGATACATGTGGAGGTCAGAGATAACTTGCAGGAGTGGATTCTCTCCTTCTGCCATCTGGATCCTAGGAACTGAACTTAGAATGTCAGGCTTGCATTAAGCATCTTTACCTACTGAGGCATGATGCTGACCCTTATTCCTGTTTTTGAGCTTTGAAAATATCTTCTTTTTCAAATAATTTTTTCATCACTATTTAAGGCATTTTTTTCTTTGAAACTGGTAAGGAAAACTTGAGATAATATAAATTTGTATTGTAACATATCAAATAACTATGCTTTAAAATTACTTAGTAATAGACTCACTTCTTTTATTTTCGTTTGTTTGTTTTTTGTTTTGTTTTGTTTTCTTGAGACAGGATTTCTCTGTCCTGGCTGTACTGGAATTCACTTTGTAGACCATGGTGGCCTCAAACTCACAGAATGCTGGGATTATAGGTGTGCACCACCACACCTGGCTTAGAGTCACTCTTTACTGGGAAGTTCTATATCTGCATAAAACAGAACTTATTCATTGTCTTGAGACAGTTATAGTGAATTATGGATCTGATAGTTTAAAAAGACATAACAAATTTAACAGACCTAGCTAAATTCTTTTATGTTTTGGTCTTTTAAATTAAAAATACTAATAAATATTCATTGTACATAGTCATTCATTTCAGAAAGACAATTTCTTTCAAGTATGTCATAAACGTTGAGTACATTAATCACTGATACCTTCCCTCTTCTTTCCATATCCTCTGTCCACTAGTCTAATTTCTAAATTCATTTCTCTTTTCCCCACACATTTGTAAACTTCTCCTCTCTTTTCTTCTCCATCTCAGAGGCAGTAATTCTAGTCATTTAGTTCTTTATATCTCAAACTCTCAAGATCATTCTTGGCTCTTCTCTGTCTTCAAAATCCTATTAGTCACTCCTTTAAAATCCTCCTACAATCATACCACTTCTTACTATACTGCCTCCACCCAATTCTAACCCTGGATATTTCCCCCCTTTGAGGCTCGCCTGCTCCTGCTCTTTCGAAATGATTCTCATTAGAAAAGTCAGAAGGATTCTGGTAAAATATAAGTCAGAGACTGTCATTCCTCTATTCAAACTCATCCACTAGTTCTCCATTCCATGCAGGAAAAGAAAGGACCTTTACTTGGGCTAACAAAGCTGGAATTTTATTGTCTGCATTCATCTCATTTCTTTTTCTTACTCTGGTCCCAGTCACACTGGTCTTCCTAAAATATATCATGCATCATCTGTTTCAGAGGTGTTTTTTTTTTTTTTAAACCTTTGTTTGCTTTCTTCCCCCAAAATCCACTGGACTCACCTTCATTTCACTCAGGTCTGTTCTCACCTTCTCCTTTATTACAGAGATCTCCTTCAGTCACAGTACAGTCTACTCCATTACCCTCTCTTCCTGGTTCTTTGCTATATTTTTCTTCACAGCACTTATCACCACAAACATTGCTTTTGTTTATCTCTACACTAGAAGTAAAGACCCCTGGGGAACAAGCAATATGTATTGAGGTCTGTTATGTACCAAGTCTTTGTCTAGGCAGTAAGAATATAAACATTAAACAAATAAACACAGATATTCTTATAGTGCTTCTATCCTACTGTGATATAAATTGCCTCTATTTACTCAGTAAATACACAGTACATACTTGGCAGAATAACAAGAATGGCTTTCAAAAAGAAGACTTGGATTGGCTTGCCACCTTTAACTCATTGAGACACTCATCACATCTAAAGAGATGGTTCTGTAGCCTCCTAAATGAAAGGTGAATATATTAGACAATTCCATGATCCCCTGGTACTCCTTATCCTTAACTCTAAGGAAGTACTAGCCCCATCTCTTCAATTGCTTCCACTTTCTGGAACTGCTTCCATCATTGTCCCTTATTCACGTTGACAAATGATAGCCTAAAAAAAATCTCAATTTCATCTTTATAAAATCATATTGCTTTGTAACCCCCTACAGACACATATCATCAGCAGATGTAGCCAGACACACTGTCTTTGAATCCAGATGGCTTTTCAACAGCTCAGAGCTATGTATCCTATAAACCTCTTAGCCAAAGGGGTACCGTTATGTCAATTGAGAGAGTGACATTGAAATACAGTGATTCAAAGACCCTGCCCAGGAGCTACTTCAACATTTTGTCATTCCACTGAATGTACTACTAGTTAACTCAAAGCTATCACACTCATAACAGGAATGGTTTTCATGGGTGAATCACTGCCTAGCTGATGGGCAAGTAAACACTATAAAGTTACATTACAACACCAACATTGAGACAAATATTAGGCCAGATTATAGGTTTTATACAAAAGGAAGTGGATCCTTGTCCTCAAGGAACTTACAGAGTAAAATGTTACATGCTTTGGTTTGGATTTGGACATATTAACAAATACCAAAATTGTTATAATTATCATTGAAAATAATGCATCCTATGAATACCACCATGGCTAAACACTATCAGTTCAAAAAATAGGATCAAATTATCTTGGCAGACACAGCTGATATGGTATTTCCCCAGGAAAGAGAAGGGCCGTAAGGAGAATGACCTTGAGGGATATAAACATACTGAGGGCCTCCAAACATACTGAAAAAAGACTGAAGATCTCTGGAGTTAGAGGATAAAGGATCCTTCTATTATTATTTGTATACTAAAGGACTGATTAGCAGGGTAGGCTGAAAAAAATCTGTGATATTTGGATAATACATGAGCTATAATGAGTATTTTATTAACATTTTGTAAGTCAGAGTGATAAAGGATCACTTGAGTAGACTTACCATCTGGTCCTTCACCACTTTTGCTTCTTTTATTGCGGCGAACACGCCTACTTTCTTCTTCAGAATATGTCTTTTCATCAGGAAAGAAGAAATTCAGGAGGGTCATCTATAAAATTAACAAGTAGATGTGTTAAAAGATTGGCCCAAGTTAGCTATATTCAACATAAGAAGCCAACCTACTAGTTTTCAATTGATGCTCTATCTTTACCTAAAATTCAGTATATCTAAAGTCTGAGTCACTCTTTCCTTTCACTTTTTAAATGACTTTAAACATGGAATCATTACTATTCTAATCACGTAGGTATGAAATTTTGGTTAATCTCTGAAGCCTTTCTATTCTTTGCTGCGTAGCTGTATGATAAATCCCTTAGGTTACATTTGTCTACAAACTTCTGGAGTTTGCCATAAACTTCTAATTTTCCTCCCACATTACTGATGGCTATCTGGAACTAGCCTTGGATATTCTATTACCCCATGGACTTCATTATCATATACATCTGATTTTATCAAATTCTTATTTATGCTCTGCTTTTAATTTGTTTCTAAAGTGAGGAGCATCTAATCCTGGGGTGCCAGTATGTCAACTATTTTTTTTTTTGTATGTCAACTATCTTATGGGAGTTAATTCATAACGAAGTACACAAAAATTCTCTGCCTTTCCCAAACTCCACCAGAACATGGTCTAGAAGACGCATTTTACTGAAATACAAAAGTTGATTGTTTTCCTATTCTGTTTGGCAGTTCAGAATCACTAAGATCAAAAACTCAAGTGACAACGCATGCTGGAGATTATGTGGAGAAAGGGGAACCCTCCTCCATTGCTGATGGGAGTGTAAACTGGTACAACCACTTCAGAAATCAATCTGGTGCTTTTTCAGAAAATTGGCAATAGGACTATCTCAGGATCCAGCTATACCACTCTTGAGCATATACCCAAAAGATGCCCCACCATTCAATAAGGACATTTGGTCAACTATGTTCACAGCAGCTTTATTTGCAATAGCCAGAATCTGGAACAAGCTAAGTGTCCCTCAGTGGAGGAATGGATACAGAAATTGTGGTACATCCACAGAATGGAATACTACTCAGCTATTAAAAACAAGGAAATCATGAAATCTCCAGGCAAATGGTTGAAAGTAGAAGAGGTCATCCTGAGTGAGGTAATCCAGAAACAAAAAGACAGGCTTGGTATACACTCACTTATAAGCGGATATTAGTTGTATAATATAGGATAGCCATCTACAGAGCTAAAGAAGCTAAACACTAAGGAGGACTCTAGGGAGGATGTTTAAATCTCATTCAGAATGGCAAACAGGATAGACACCAGAAGCGGTGGAAGGGAGGAAACAGGATGGGAGCCTACTATACAAGGTCCTTTAAAAGGATTCACCCAACAGGGGATCAAACAAGATGCTGAGACTCAGGGTCAAACTTTGAGTAGAGAGCAGGAAGTCTTACAAAGGAATAGAAGTGTGAGGATAGAGGGACATGGAAGGGACAGAAGCCCCACAAGGAGACCAACAAAATTAAAGGATCTGAGCCCAGGAGGTCCTGGAGAGACTTATGCATCAACCAAGGACCATGCATGGAGATGACCTAGACCCTCTGCTCAGATGTGGCCTATTTGCAGCTGAGTCTCCATGTGGGGCTCTGAGTGAGGAGAGCGGGGGCTGCCTCTATCATAAACTCACTTGACTGCTCTTTGATCACTTGCCCCCGGTGATGTGGCCTTCCTAGGCCAAAGAGGAAGAGGATCCAGGTAGACCTAATGAGACTTAACAAGCTATGGGCAGATGGCAATAGTGGAGAACTCCCCCTTTCAGTGGACTAGGGGAAGGGGATAGAAGGAAGAGGGAGGGAAAGTGGGACTGGAGGGAGTTGAGGAAGAGGGATATATAATCAGGATATATAATGAATAAACTATGAAGAAAAAAATTAAAATTATAAAAAGAAGAACCTAAACTTGTTCTCACTCAACTACTAAATTTTCATACAATAATATATCTGAATGAAATGTGTCTTGTGTTAAAAAATATTCATTTTGATATTTTGTCCTTTGCTGTCTTTTTTTTCTTTATTCACTTTGTATCCTCCTGTGGTTCCCTCTCTCCTCCCCTAACCAATCCCTCCCTTCCTCCACCCTCTGCATGCATGCCCCTCCCCAAGTCCACTGATAGGGGAGGTCTTCTTTTCCTTCCTTCTGATCCTAGTCAATTAGGTCTCATCAGGAGTGGCTGCACTGTCTTCTTCTGTGGCCTGGTAACGCTGCTTCCCCCTCAGGGGGGAGGTAATTAAAGAGAGGGCCAATCAGTTCATATCAGAGGCAGTCCCTGTTCCTATTACAATGGAACCCACTTGGATACTGAACTGCCATGGGCTACATCTGTGCAGGGGTCTTAGGTTATCTCCATGCATAGTCCTTGGTTGGAGTATCAGTCTCAGGAAAGACCCCTGTGCTCAGATTTTTTGGTTCTGTTGCTCTCCTTGCGGAGTTCCTATCCTCTCCAGATCATATTGTTTCCCACATCTTTCCTAAGATTCCCTGCACTCTGCCCAAAGGTTGCCCATAAGTCTCAGGATCTCATGTTTAAAGTCTTGGAGATATCAGGGATACAAGGCACATACCTGAACATAGTAAAGGCAATATACAGCAAGCCTATAGCCAATATCAAATTCAATGGAGAGAAAATTAAATCAATTCCACTGAAATCAGGGACAAGGCAAGGCTGCCCACTCTCTCTGTATCTCTTCAACATTGTTCTTGAAGTCCTTGCTAGAGCAATAAGACAAAGAAGATCAAGAAGATACAAATTGGAAAGGAAGAAGTCAAAGTATCACTATTTGCAGATGATATGATAGTATACCTGAGTGATCCCAAAAATTCTACCAGGGAACTTCAACAGCTGAATAACACCTTCAGCAAAGTGGCTGGATACAAAATTAACTCAAAAAAATCAGTAGCCCTCCTGTATACAAAAGACAAAAGGGCCGAGAAAGAAATTAGGGAAATAACACCCTTCACAATATCCACAAAGGACATAAAGTACCTTGGTGTGAACCTAACCAAGCAAGTCAAAGACTTGTATGAAAAAAATTTCAAGTCTCTGAAGAAGGAATTAGAAGAAGATATCAGAAGATGGAAAGATCTCCCATGCTCATGGCTTGGCAGGATTAACATAGTAAAAATGGCCATCTTACCAAAAGCAATCTACAGATTCAATGCAATTCCCATCAAATTACCAACACAACTCTTTACAGATGTTGAAAGAAAAATTCTCACCTTCATATAGAACAACAAGAGACCCAGAATTGCTAAAACAATTCTCTACAGTAAAAGATCTTCAGGAGGTATCTCCATCCCTGATCTCAAGCTGTACTATAGAGCAACAATACTAAAAACTGCATGGTACTGGCATAGAAACAGAATGGTGGGTCAATGGAATTGAATAGAAGACCCAGAAATAAATCACTCATGGACACCGATTTTTGACAAAGATGCCAAAACCATACAATGGAAAAAAAGAGCATCTTCAACAAATGGTGCTGGTCTAACTGGATGTCTACATGTAGAAAGATGGAAATATATCCATATTTATCACCCTGCACAAAACTTTGCTGTCTTATAATCGTTGCTTATAGTAGTACAATATGTTTTGTATGTAAATTGTTCTGCTTCACCTAATAATAATAATTATAGTTCAAGTATATACTTGAGGTGAGACAAGGTGGACAGAGTTTTAGACTTGAGGTGATTCTAAACCTAACTCTACCACTTACCACCTGCATAACCTTGGACAAATTTCTTAAGCTTTAATTTCCTCATCTGAATAACACTTTACTCATAAAAGGGTTGTAGGATTATTACAGCATCTATCTTATATAATACATACCCAATAAATGTTAGATATTGCTATTTTTAAAATCTTAAAATGAATGCATTTTTATTTTATTGTCAGCAGGAAAAAATAGTAATTCCAGAATCTTCATGTATGGTGCATTTATTAGTTGAAAAAAAATAAAGGTCTGTACCCAAGGAAATCTTAACAGTTTATACAAACTTCCTTTAGATCCCCATGATTTATTGTTTATATCAAACAATTATATTCAGTAACCCTAAGGTACAGTCATCTAGGAAGATACACCCATTTACTAAATATCAAACAACAAAGGAATATATGTAACCTATGGATTATTAATCACATTGCATTTTAAAACCTTTAGGTTGACCCACATGAGGAGGCCATTCTCCAGGGAGCTCCTAGACTCTCCTAATATAATACAGGCTATTGCCACTGTTCTTTGTTACCTACTGGAACTAGAGGGTAAGACCCTACTGCTGAAGACAGCATACACTTAGGTTAGAAGACAAAGAGAAATCAAGTTGGAACTGAGCTAGAAGCATCCTCCTTGTTGACTAGCATTCAAGCTGTTGGAAGATGCTATGAAGGCAGTTTAGGGAGAAAATTTATCAGAGATCTTAGCCAGCACCAGCTGTGGACCCTGCCTGCAACAACACTGACCATTAAGACAAGATATGTCCAACGGTGCGATAGTTGAGGGCAACCAATTGCTTTTTGATGGGATTTGAGGCCTACCTCACAGGAGGAAATGCATGCCTGGTACTACATGCCTAGTCGAAAGCCCATTGTTGGGGAAGTCACGGGTTCTAGGGGAAAGCTTACTATTTTGATGTTTTGCTAAATGGACATGCAATCAAACTGCCTTCTAAATATGTATATTTATAGTTATAGAATAGTGGTGCTCTCAACCCTCAGAGAAACTTTGCTTCAGTGGGTAGCAGTTAGTGCAGAGACTCATAACTGGTTAAAACAGACATACAACTACCTGGTTAGCCCCATAGAAATGTCACTTAAACCACTTTATAAATAGGCCAATACAATATTAATAATATTAAATCAAATTGGCATTTAAAATAAAATCTCAGTCATGCCAGGTGTTGTGGCCCATATTTGTAATTGCAGCACTCTGGAGGCTGGAGCAAAAGATCCTAAACCCAAGGCCAGGCCATGCTACTTAATAAAACTGTGTCTAGAAATCAAACAAGGAATCAAAAACACAAACAAAATAAAGACTGAAATCAAATCC